AAAGTTTACACTAAAAAAATTGAAAAATTTTTAAGTTGTCATGAGCTTCAGCCTACCATAGCCTGTACATAGATCCTCCCCTGAGTACTGATGCAAAACTTTGGCCGTAAAAGGAACCGTAGAACCGACCAAGTTACCCAGCATCCAGCAAGACCAGCCTTCATAGTTACCTAACATATTCTTAATATAAATCATAAATTTTTTTACTTTTTTGAAGCCAAGATGATAAACCTTTTGGACCATGTTCTTTGGTGCTCAGGGCTCTAAATGAATTTCGCATATTAATGCGTCAGTACAACATTGGTCTCATTATTATTTTCTACTTTGATTATACAAGTTGATTAAGAAAGTAAAAATCGCAAATTTTGAAATTTCTAAAATGAGAAATGCATAATAAGTTAATAACACAACTATATATTTTATTTAAAGAGGACGAATAAAAGACTAGAAATAATAATAATGATGAAAATGTCACTTTTATATTTATCTACACTCTTTTTTCCAAGAGAAATGTTAGAGGTACCCCATTTTGGGTACCCCATTTGTACCCGAGTGGCTCACAAATCAACCCAATAAATTAATTGCTCCATTTTGATGAAGTGCCTTTGTGAACCACAAACATGCGGGGTACAAATTAAAATGGAGTACAAATGGAGTAGTTTTAGCATTTGTGTTTTTCCAAATATAGTTTAGATATGTCGTTTGCATCACTGCCTTCACTGGTCCTCCCATTAAGTACATGATGATGCGATTGTAAGCTGACCAGTCAAAACTCAAAAGGCATTTAAATAAGTGCAACAGTCAACATTTCACAATTGCCGAGGCACGACTTTGACCATTAATATATATAACTCTCTATTAGTAAAAAAATTAAAAAAAATCAGATTTTGAAAATTTACAATGAGACAAATTTAATAATATTTTTAAAAAAAAATATATATTAATACATCACTAAATAAAATGTAGTCAAAGTATAACATGTGAATAATGTAAAATTTGCAATGTTGCACTTATTTAAAAACGGAGGTAGTATGAGTTTATAGTTTGACCAAAGTGTACACATATACCATGTTTAAAAAGGGAAACATATGTTTCTTTTTTAAACATTTTTTTGCACGCTGTGCCTATTTTATGTCTATTGTCTACATATAATTCGTTTTAAAAAGACAGAACTATCTTGGTAGCTAGGATGGGGAGGGGCCTGGATCGAGAGGTGGGCTAGGGGGTACGGTTGAGGGTCCTGGGAGGGCTCACTGCCGTAGTGGCAACGGAGGTCATCGCTAGCTCGGCGGCAGCTGTTGGGTCACTAGCGGTACGGTGTAGCTGTCACTGAGCAATGGGTCACTATGGCAATCATCAGGGTAGTTGGTCAATGGAAAAATGGGTCACTAGCGATTCTTGAAAGTGTCATCGAGAGGTGACAATTTCAGTCCGTGATGGTCATGACTGAGACATTGCCCACTCCAGGACAGGGTCACTATGACGTTGATCACTGTAGCGATAATATTTGTAGTGAGAAGAACATGTAAAACGCATTGCCCGCTCCGAGACAGGGTCACAATTGTGAAATAATGGGAAAGGTTCCCTAATACGGTACCTGGCAAATATATTTATACTAATAAAAGTTTCCAAAGATACAAAGGATTCCTAATTTAATACTCCCTCCGTCCCAATATAAAAGGCACATTTGCGTTTCTAGACATTTTAAGGGTGACCACCTATGTAGCACATATACCGGTACGCGGAAACACGGAAACGCGGAAACGGGTACGGGGATACGTCAAAACCAAAAAAAGTAGGATACGGATACGGGGCCATATTTATAAATATTAAAAGTTATGGCGGTGTATTTACAAATATTAAAAGTTATAGGGGTCTATTTATAAATATTAAAAATATTTTTTTTTAATATATATATATACATACATATAATATCCTATGATGTCTACCCATTCATTGCATTGAAGCATTTTCCTTTTTCAAGATACTTAGTAATAAATTCATAATATTTCTCATATACACTAATGTATCTCGAAATATAAATGTAGTCAATAAGTCATTAATTTAAAATGTGAAATAAGTCAAACAACTACAATCTTGAAATTAAAAGTGCAAGTACCCACTTCGGAGTATGAGTTAATGACTTAATTCGGATATAGCCATATAGGCCCATTATTTGATTACCAAGTAAAATGTAGTTTTAGATTTTCATTTTTTTTTTTGGAATTTTATTAAGTAAATTTTGGGATTTTTTTTTTTAAAAAATGGTTGATACGGGTATCCGTCAGGATACGAGTATCGGAAACTTTCAAAAGATTACAAAAAAAAATGGAAACTTTTAAAAATTGCAGATACGGCCCGGGAACGTACGGTACGAGTATCCTAGAGTATCGGATACGGGAACGTATCCGATACGCCGATACGCTACCCTAGGGAAGTATCCGTGCTTCATAGGTGACCACTGTTTGAACACTGTTTGACACTGTTTGACACTGTTTAGACACTGTTTAGACACTGTTTGGACACTGTTTGACACTGTTTTGCACTGTTTTGTTTGCCAAAAAGGGAAATGTGCCTTTTATATTGGGACGGACCGAAAAGGAAAGTGTGCCTTTTATATTGGGACGGAGGGAGTATTAGGCTATTACACCCCCTCAAACTGTGCGGGAGATACAACGCGCATGTTGTCCTTTAAAAAATGAAATTGCTGACTAGAGAGACTTTTAGTAAATATATCGCTAACTGAAGACTGGTAGGAACATATTTAACAACAAGATCACCATGAGCCACACGTTCACGAACAAAGTGATAATCTATCTGGATATGCTTACTCCGAGCATGCTGAACAGGATTGGCTGTCAAGTAGAAAGCAGAGATGTTGTCACAAAACAAACGTACCGGTGTTGTGACTGGAAAACCAAGCTCAAATAGAATGGACCGAATGTGTATTGTGTCCTGCACCGTGTAGGCGATGGCTCGATACTCTGCTTCTGTAGAGGATTTGGAAACAGTAGGCTGCTTCTTTGACTTCCAAGATACAAGATTGGGCCCAAGAAATACTGCGTAGCCGGTGGTGGACCGAGAGGTATCGGGACAGCCGACCCAATCTGCGTCTGAATATGCCACAATGCAGGTCGCCTTAGGTGTAGGCTGAAGTCATAGACCATGATCAATGGTACCCTGCAAATATCTAAAAATCCTCTGGACAACACAAAGATGAGTGGTACGTGGGGCATGCATAAATTGAGAAACCAAATGCACAACATAAGTAATATCCTATGAAGCACGGATACTTCCCTAGGGTAGCGTATCGGCGTATCGGATACGTTCCCGTATCCGATACTCTAGGATACTCGTACCGTACGTTCCCGGGCCGTATCTGCAATTTTTAAAAGTTTCCATTTTTTTTTGTAATTTTTTGAAAGTTTCCGATACTCGTATCCTGACGGATACCCGTATCAACCATTTTTTAAAAAAAAAATCCCAAAATTTACTTAATAAAATTCCAAAAAAAAAAAAAATGAAAATCTAAAACTACATTTTACTTGGTAATCAAATAATGGGCCTATATGGCTATATCCGAATTAAGTCATTAACTCATACTCCGAAGTGGGTACTTGCACTTTTAATTTCAAGATTGTAGTTGTTTGACTTATTTCACATTTTAAATTAATGACTTATTGACTACATTTATATTTCGAGATACATTAGTGTATATGAGAAATATTATGAATTTATTACTAAGTATCTTGAAAAAGGAAAATGCTTCAATGCAATGAATGGGTAGACATCATAGGATATTATATGTATGTATATATATATATATTAAAAAAAAATATTTTTAATATTTATAAATAGACCCCTATAACTTTTAATATTTGTAAATACACCGCCATAACTTTTAATATTTATAAATATGGCCCCGTATCCGTATCCTACTTTTTTTGGTTTTGACGTATCCCCGTACCCGTTTCCGCGTTTCCGTGTTTCCGCGTACCGGTATCTGTGCTACATAGGTAATATCAGGTCTTGTCAAGGTTAAATACTGTAATGCACCTACCATACTGCGATACTCAGTCGCATCTGCGAGTAACTCACCATTAGTGAGAGATAAAGAAGTACGAGATGCAAGGGGAGTACGAACAGATTTGACAGTGTGTAAATGGAACCGGAATAAAAGATCAGATACATATTTTTGTTGAGATAGAAACAAACCTTTACTGTTACGGGTGGCCTGAATGCCAAGAAAATAATGAAGATCACCCAAGTCTTTCATGGCAAAGTGACAAGCAATAAGACGAATAAACTCAGAGATAGTAGAGGAGGAATTGCCAGTAATAATGATATCATCCACATATAAAAGTAGATAAATAATGGAATTGCCCTGGCGATAAATGAAAAGAGAGTTATCTCACTTACTACATAAAAAATTATGAGTAAGCAGAAAACTATTGAACCTATGAAACCATGCCCGCGGGGCCTGCTTAAGGCCATAAATAGCCTTGCGCAGCCGACACAAGTGATGAGGATACTGGGGATGAATAAAACCCCGCGGCTGACGCATATAAACTTCTTCTGTAAGATGACCATGAAGGAAAGCATTTTTAACATCAAGTTGACGCATAACCCACCCAAAAGAAATAGCTAAAGTAAGAACAGTACGAACAGTGGTGGGTTTAATAACGGGACTAAATGTCTCAGAAAAATCTACACCTGCCTGTTGATTAAAACCCTGAGCAACTAATCTTGCCTTGTGACGCTCAATAGACCCATCAGAAAGATATTTTGTTTTATAAATCCACTTAGATCCAACAATATTTTTAGAATTATCAAATGGTACTAATTCCCAAGTGTGGTTAGCAATAAGTGCATTAAATTCCTCAGCCATAGCCTGACGCCATTTTAACTGTTTATTTGCCTGAGAAAAACAAGTGGGGTCTGCGGAGATAACAACCGTGTTCAAATTAAAAACTGATTTTGGTTTAAAAATTCCTGATTTTGCCAGAGTTTGCATCAGGTGGACATTGACGGGAGAAACATGGGACGAGTCAGGGACAGTTTCTTGGGTTTGAATGCTGGCCGAATCAGAGAGGACAGGAGAAGGAATTGATGAGGACGGACTGGAAGTATTCTGGGAGCTGGCATTTGGGGAAGTATTCTGGGAGCTGGCACAGGGGTCGAGAATGGACTGCCTGGAGTTTGTAGTGGGACGGATGGCTGCCATGGAAACATGGAAGGGATGGTCTGGAATAGAGAATACGCACCAGAAACATCAGGAACCAGTGAAGAAGACGCAGTTGGCACGACCGATCCCGTCTGATAAGAAATCACCTGCTGCGGCTCAAGCATGTTGACAGGGGCGCTGGTGATGACTACGGCCGCGTCGGTAAAGGTAGCGGATGCCGGCGCCGTAGTCGAGGAAATTGAGGCAGTGGTGGAGACTGCCATGGAAGAAGAAGTAAACTCGGCCGATGAGTGCAGGGCATCGATGGTTGAACCTGCGGCCGAAGACATGGCTTAGAAAGAATAATTGAGGGTTTGGAGGAAGGAGAGAGAGAAAAAAATTTAGGCTCTTGATACCATGTGAAATAATGGGAAATGTTCCCCAATAGGGTACCTGGCAGATATATTTATACTAATAAAAGTTTCCAAAGATACAAAGGATTCCTAATTTAATATTAGGCTATTAACAATGACGCCAAAATATACATATAAAACACAGTTATCTTCCAAAAATCATTTGATTGCCTTCCCAATTGAATTTTTAGCTGAAATTTGGTATGAGTAAACTAGACTTGATGAGGAACATTCACAAAAGATTTCACCAAAAACACCACCGGGAACCGCCCCAAAAGGCGGAGGCCGGACGACGTTCCGGTCAGGAACAGAGGGACATGTGAGTTTATATTTATTTGTATTATTTATATTTATATTAGTATACTTAATTATACTCCCTCTGTCCCATTTTATAAGATGTCTTTACTATTCACTTGGTCAACACAAATCACTCTTAATCTCTTATTTTATATATCAAAATTTTATGAAATTTGAATTATTTTTACAGGTTTTGAAGCGGTTTTAATGTAGTTTCTGAATATGTAATTCTTTTTTTCTAAAATTAATTTGAGTGCAGACAGGGATCCGTTTGCTTTATCGTCGGTCAAACATCGTAAACCGAAAAGTATCTTATAATCCGGGATAGAGGGAGTAGTAAATTAGGCATAATAGTATTTTATAGAGTGTGCATTATAAATTAGAATACTATTTCAAATATATGAAATGTGTTAATAAGTTATTAAAGTAATTGAAATTGGAAATTTTTTCAAGATTTGAAGTTCATAAAATTTATAAGCTACATAACTATCATGTTATTAGACTTCCAAAGCAAAACTAACATATTTTTAGACTTTGTAGTGAATATGGGGGTAGATTTTATATCTGGTTAAAAGGTTTTTGAACTTTTTATTTTTAATTTTTTTTAAACTTTTGATTTTTTCTTAACAGACCCACTAAACAGGCTTCAGGTCAGGCCATGATTTTAAATAGGCCAGGCTCATGCCGAAAAAATAGGCCTTTAACAGGTAACTAACCAGGCTCAGCCGCTCAGGCCTATAAATTCTAAAACAGACCCGACCTGTTTAGGAAAAAGTTTGGCCGACCTAACCTATTCCACCCCTAGTGTCAATTAAACTTGATAAAATTGAATAAGAAATAATTATTTTGAATTGAGTTTAGTGGTGGACCTGGTTCGGGCCACTCGGCTCGGTCTGGCGGTCCGGGACCGGGTGGTGACCCGAACCGGTGGGATAGCGGGGGGCGGGCACGGGTAGGGCAAATGGGGACCCGGGCCGGCCGGGCCTGGTTCGGGCCCAATTCCTTTTTTTTTTTCATTATTTTTGGGTTTCCACCGGATTGGGTTAGGTGTTTGGGGGTGGGGGGTAGTTAGGAAAGCAAAAAAAAATACATTCGACCCGACCCGACCCGGCCCGGACCCGGTGGATACCCGGGCCGGTACCATTAAAACTCAAAGGCCCGACCCGAGTCCATACCTAATTGAGTTATTATACATACTTCATGTTTAAGTAATTCATACTCCGTACTTATTTGCAGTACAATACTCCCTCCGTCCCTGATAACTTTGCCATTTTGACTGACACGATGATTAATAAAGTAAAACCTGTGTGATTGATGTTTGTGCAGAGGAGAGAGAATTAACTGAAACCACAATTTTTTTATTTAAAGGGGAAAATATAGGACATTCCAAAAAGGAAAGTTGACAAAATTATAAGAAAAGAAGAGAGTAAGTGTTATCGAAAGGCTTTAAAAAGTTCAAAAATGCTAAAGGTACCCCATTTTGGGGTACCACATTCTTACACTCCTATTGTGTGGCCACAATTGAGACATTACTTTTAAGTGGGACAACATTTTTAAGTGTGACCTCATTTGGACCACACAGTATATTGTCAATATGTGGCCTAAGAATGAGATATCTCTAGCATTGTTATAAAAAGTTTGACTTAAAATCGCTCGGTAATTGCATAGAGCCACCGACCATTCTCTCACGCAACCGGCCAACCCTTCATTTTTGATTACTTCCTAGTTCCTTCCCCCAAAGCACATATCTCCCTTAATTTAAAAGCACATTTTACAATAGGAAACATTTGAGATAGCACACTTGTTCATAAAGATATTTTGCTTTTATATACTCCGTAATAGAGATGTGTATGCGTGTGTTTTGGAGTAACTGAGTTTAATCTTTGCTCTTTGTCCTCTCTCAGCACCCGTATAAGAGATGCATAAATCATAATGTTTCATTTCTTCAATTCTATACGGAGTATGTGTGATCAAATTACTTTTTTTTTCTTCTACGGAGTATATTTTTGTGACAGTTTGACAAGTACAAATGTTGTTAAAACTCATGAGAGTTTTTATCACTTTTGGTGATCCGACTATTATGTCATTGACATTTTTGGTACTCGACTTTTATTTTTTCCACTTTTAGTCCTTGACTATTGTGTTAGAGACACTTTTAGTACCCGTCTTTGAAAACTTTCATATTTAGTCATTCGGCTTTCATAAAAGTGACAATTTTGGACCTTCAACTATAATATTAGTGACATTTTAAATCCTTCATTTAGTGTGTCAAAATCATACCGGAATGACAAAAATGTCAATTTGATAATACTCAGGAGACGAAATGTGGGAAACTTTTAGGTCGAGGACTAAAAGTGTTTTTAGCACAATAGTCGAGGACTAAAAAAGAAAAATCAAAAGTCGAATACTAAAAGTATAAATGACACAATAGTCGGAGGACCAAAAAATGGAAAAAAGTCAAACTCATAAAATGGTAAACTTGACGAAATAATTACATAAATATGATCAAAATAAAGATGATTTACAAAAATATGACTCATTACTAAAGTAGTAATGAAATCATAGTAATTCATGTTCAAGTTTTGAACTTAAGTTACTACAATACTACGTTGTAATAATGAATAGTCATATTTATGTAAATAAGTTTTATTTTAGTAATATTCTTGTAAAAAACTAGATTCTTTTTACAAACATTATATTACTTGATCTTTTTCTGGCAAATCGTGGTGTGGTGATGGTATAGTTAAAAATATCGTCATAGAGAAGAAGCCTTTACATTATACTACCTCCGTTTCTCAAAGAAAGTCAACTTCTCTAAGATTAAGAAAATAAATTGATTTTACTGTAGAGAACACTGTTTGACACTGTTTGGACACTGTTGGCACTGTTTAGACACTGTTTGACATTGTTGATGTAGATTTCTTTGCCAAATAAGGAAATAAGGGAAGTGTGACTTTGTTTTTGAAGCATCCAAAAAAGGAAAATGTGACTTTGTTTGTGAAACGGAGGGAGTATTACATTTCACATTCCTTGTAGAGGAAATGATTCTTGATGACTAAAACCAACGTAGTTTTTTGCGACTTTGTAAAGCGTTTAATGTAGTTTCTGAATATGTAATTTTTTCTTTTTAAAAATAATTTCTGTGCGGACATGGATCTATTTGATTTATCATCGGTCAAACATCGTAAACCGAATTGTCCCAAACTTAGTGGGACGGAGGTAGTAACCATGTTACTTCTATGTAGCGAAGAAATATATACCACTTCTATATTAGCAATTCAAATTATTTTTACCTTTTATTATTATTTCAAAAAAATCTCAAAAAAACTATTATCACTAATATACCTAGTAGGCTAGTATATTGTTTAAAGTCTAAAGTTAATTAGGGGTGGGAAAAATCCAACCAAAAACACCGAGCCCGAAAATTCAGGCTCATGAACAGGCCCCAAAATCTATAACCTTGTCCGGACCTACAAAAACCCGAAACAATTGCCTTTCATATAAAATCAATACAATATACAAAGATAATTTATAAATAATTCCTAACATATGATTATTACAAGAGATATTACCCAAAATAGGACTACAAATGTTTGAAAATTTCAAAATAGGACTCTCATGTTTTTATTCCCAAAATAGGCATAATTACTGTCATGTTTTGGCAGTACCAGACTTCAAACATGGCAGTATTTTCCAAACTTGACAGTAATTACTCCTATTTCGGGAATAAAAAACATGTCAGCCCTACTTTGAAATTTTCAAACTGATTTAGTCCTATTTCGGGAACTTTCCCTTATTACAATAGTGGATGAAACAATGACTTATTAAATTTTAGTGACTATAAATATGTTCGATTTGTATACCGTAATGACTATGAAAATATATTTATTGTAATGTTAGTCACATTTTTATCCATGAGTTTTAACTAGTAATAATTTTAGAAAACCTATATTATTTATTTATATGTATCTTAAAGAAATTATTAAGATAATTATATTCTTTGGTTGAATTGTCGGTGATTTTGGAGACTAATATTTTTGTTAATATTTGCAATTTGAACTTTTAATAAATTTTACTTGAAAATAGATAATAAAATATAAAAGGACAATGAGATGATTTCATGTTTAAACTATAACCGGCCCAACCCGAACCCGGGCCATCAAATTAGGGCTCTGTTCCGATCCCTAATTTACATAACCCGATAACTAATGGGTAATTTCCGGGTTTAACAAAAACCCGACCCAGACCGGACCGATTTCACCCTAAAGTTAATAAAGGAAGGGCAATAAAACTAAAGTTATGACACCCCAATGATTGTTTACGGAGTAAATAGTCAAAAGGATTATTAGATAAATATGTCCTCAACTATTATCAAATTCACAAATCTATCATATACTTTCACTTTTATTATAAAAAGACTCAAACTTCAAATTTTCTAAAAATTACACTTTCAATAGATAAATTATTACGTAAAATTTAAGAAGAAAATCATATTTATATTTCTTATTTTTCACTTCTTTTAGTTTTAAGTTTACAAACTTGTATTGATTATATCTTATTGGTATTGATAAAAATGTGTAATTTTGAAAAACAAAAAAGAAAAGTATAATTGTTGAAAAAGATGAAGTTTGAGTCTTTTTAATAAAAGTGAAAGAATAGTATGAATTTGTGAATTTGATGATAGTTGATGATGAAATTAGCTAATAAACCTAGTCAAAAAAGAAAACATAGCGTATTTTCATCGTAATAAATAACCTGTAAAGAGTTATTATTATTACTAAATATCAAAAGTTAATACATAAAATTCTAAATATAACTAAAACATGTATCAAATTCTTAAATAGAACTACAAATGTTTTATACCTAAAATAGAACTCATTCATTCATATTTTGGAAAGTTTTAATCAAAATAGGATTAAATAAGTGTTATTTAAGGAATAAAATATACTGAGTCATGTTTTTGAATTTTATGTGTTTTAATCTTATATTGAGCAATTTCTAACGTTAATATGGGATGGAGTGTAAGGATGTTTTTACTTGGACTGTAATTTGTCCTAGACCAGACTTGCGTAGTTATAAAAATACAAATTAACCAGATCAGACAAGACCGGTTCAGACCAGACCAGATCAGACCAGACCAGCAAATTACAGTAGAAACATCTAACACTTTAAAAGTTAGGACATTAGGGATGTTTTCTTTTGGACTGAAATTTGCTGGTCTGGTCTGGCCTGGTCTGGTCTGGTCTGTTTAAGTCTGGTCTGGTCTGAACTAGTCTGGTCTGGTCTGGTAAACGTCTGGTCTCTGTGTATTTTATAACTATCCAAGTCTGGTCTGATCTGTTTAAGTCTGGTCTGGTCTGTTTAAGTCTGGTCTGGTCTGGGACTGAAAACAGTCCAAAAGAAAACATCCTAGGTCACCGCAATTATTTTTAGAGTATATTAAAAACGGAAATTGTCCGGGAACAAAATAATGTGAAATCTAGTATTTATGACACTATATTTGGAAATTATGGCTTGCGATAAGACTGTAGTCATGCCAAAATACTACACTTATTATGTTTCAAAATGGAACTAATTTACTCCTATTTGAAAAAAAACAGAATTTTTGAATTTCAATTTAATTACACACGTGGATGCAAACAAATATTTATGTACACACATGGTTGCCAAAAGAAATATGTACTAGCGCGGTTGCCAAAAAAAATTATTTACACACGTGGTTGCCAAATTTTTATTTGGGAAACTACCCCGACACAACCTAGCGCAGTTTCATCCTAATTAGAACTAATAACTATAAAAACCTTTTATATGTTTCATTGGAATCAGAAAGAGCTATAAGCAAGACAAAAAAGAATACAGAGGCGTATATAAAGCAGAAGGATTGGAGGATCAAGTTTATACAGACAATGATGATGTTGATGATGGAAGATGTGTTGTCTAAACTAGGCCCTGCCCTTGCAACACTCATGTTCATCTGTACCTTATACCATAACTATTTCCCTCATCAACTTCAATCATACATAGTTTATCCTTTCCACAGAATTTACAGATTTTTCTACCCATACGTTCACATCATCTTCCATGAGTTTGAAGCAGAGGACTTCTTCGACAGGAGCGAAGTGTTCCTGGCTATCGAGAGGTACCTGGGTCAGAACTCCACCTCGAATGCTAATCACCTCGTCGCGAAAGCCGCCAAAGACACCACCCAGCGGGTGGTGCTCAGCATGGACAACGGCGAGGTGGTGACAGATGTTTACAGATATTATGAGAAGGGTGATAAGGAGGTGAAGGTATGGTGGAGTTCCAACCAAATACCTCCCAATAGCCAGACCATCACTTACTTTCCTAGGGAGGAAGAGAAGAGATTTTTCTCGCTTAAGTTTCACAAGAAGAACCGAGAGATCATCACAAAATCCTATCTCAAGCATGTGCTAGAGGAGGGGGAAGCGATTGCTGTCAAGGACAGGAAGCTTAAGCTGTACACGAACAACAAGAGTGACGACTGGCGTGGGTGGAAGAGCACCAAATGGAGTCATGTCATCTTCAAGCATCCTTCCAACTTCACCACACTAGCTATGGAACCAAGGCGGAAACAAGAGATCAAGGATGAGCTTCTCAACTTTAAGGACTCAAAGGAGTTTTATGCTCAGATAGGCAAGGCGTGGAAGCGCGGGTATCTCCTACACGGTCCACCCGGGACAGGAAAGTCAAGCATGGTTGCCGCCATGGCCAATCTTCTGCAGTACGACGTGTATGATCTCGAGTTGACAGCGGTGAAGAATAACAATGAGCTAAGGAGGCTCTTGATAGACACTTCAGGTAAGTCCATCATAGTCATTGAAGATATCGATTGCTCCCTTGACCTAACAGGTCAGAGGAAGAAGAAGAAGGAAGAGGAGGAAGATGAGGATGAATCATCAGAGGAAGAAAAAGATCCCATCAAGGAGTTGATCAAGGAAAAAGAGAAAAAAGGGAGTGAGGTGACTCTATCCGGGCTTCTCAATGTCATTGATGGTCTCTGGTCAGCTATTGGAGAAGAAAAAATCATAATTTTCACTACAAATCACATTGAAAAACTTGATCCTGCTCTGATTAGGAGAGGGAGAATGGACAGCCATATTGAGATGTCTTATTGCTGCTTTGAAGCCTTCAAGGTATTAGCAAAGAACTATCTCGATATGGATACGGAAAAAGATACCCAACCTCACCCTCTATTTCCAGAAATCAAGCGTTTGCTAGGGGAAACCAAAGTTGCGCCAGCCGATGTTGCTGAGAACATGATGCCCAAATCTGCTGGAGAGAACATTGACACTCGTCTCGAGAGACTGGTTAAATCTCTACAAGAAGCTGCAAATGAAGAATTGAAGAAGAAAGCCGAGGAAGAAAAGAGAATCGCGGATGCCAAGGAAGAGGAAGACATAAAGAAGCTGAAGGCCAAAAGAAAGCTCAGAGCTTGGCTAAAGAAAATGGAGATATGAAGAAAGCAGATGCATTGGTTCTAGAAAATGGAATTGCAGGTGAGGGCTGATGATATTTGAAAGAAGAATTTTCACCCTTAGCTTGGCTTAGTGTTTCTTAGTATTTTGCAATATATATTAGTCTTGTATAATACTATCTATTAATGGATGAGGGATCACTGGATCAGGATACATGTAGGGAGAGTTTTATGGTATAGTAACATTCTCTCAAGTCTTAAATCTACCCAATTGAATAAGTGATGGTGAGCTGATTTTGGGGTAGATTTGAGATAGTTGTAGTGTTTTTATGTTTACTTGAACATCTATAAACGTATTCTTAAAGATTAGGGACCTACTTTACATTATTTTTTATTATAATCTTCAAACCGACCAGTTGCACCAAACTACTCTAAGAATCTCATTGAAAAAATCTCATATAGAATCCATATGATTGAGAAAGCAAACTTGAATTTAGAGTCCTCTTATTGCAGTGTCACCTAACTGTCTGTGTGGAGGTACAATAATTCTTTATATGTACCACCCACCCACCTTCCATTTTGGCCACCATGGCTATTAACAGTAAAGTTTAGACCACTTTACAATTTGTAAATGAGAAAAGTGTTAATTCAGTACATCAAATTGCAGCAAGTGGAATAAAGAGTACTTGATATTGCATTTGATATCAACAAGTACACATACTTGGTATTTTGGTGTCAAATGAGTACATTAGCCATATTCAGCCGTTATTATTGCTGACATGTCTAACGGAGTAGTGATATGTCATAATTAAGTCCACATCATCCATCCGTTAACGCTTCGTGATTACACATTAGAAAATCCTAACCTATTCTTACGAACTCAACAGAAAACAACGATGAAGTTCTCATGCTAAACAAGAAGAGTAGCTACAGTTTGAAGGTGATAATCTGAAGATGGAGAATGAGAAATCGGATGAAAGGTACAATAACACTAAGATTACTTGCTATACCTGGTCGATGCAAGGATGATTATGTATGGAATTTCTTTTATTCGTATGTAATGTGGAATGGATGGGTGAAGTTAGAATATGCACAAGGCTAAAATCTCATGCTAAAACCATGTCATTTATCCCTTACGTATGTCACAACTACACTTGGGTTTTGCTTGAAACCACTCAAACTATTAAAATTTGTGTTTGATCCATTGTGCTTTCTGGAAGTGCTTAATAATATATTCCGTATTGCATAACCCCCAAACATTAAGTAAAAGAAAACATCCATTGTACAAGGTTTTTTTGAGGTAGTTGATGTGACCTTAGCAATACTATAATACGGATTTTTGTTAAGTTTTTCTGATAACATTGTACAAGTTATTATTGTTAATCCTGGTTGGTTTTCATGTGGCCCTTTCTGTGTATATATGTGGCACTAGTTGGATGTGTATTAATATCTTTAGCCTGTATGAAGTGCTGGCAGTTAACTGGTTCCATCCCCTTGTCGTTTTGTTTTTGAGACGTTCAAAGCAGATGGGTTACTGAAAGTTGTTGGTTTTTTAAATGATAAGCTGCAACAAGGTTTCCTGAAAAGAATCTGTTTTGCAGTGAAGCCTGATGAGGCTTATGGATTAATTTTCTCTTGGGACAATATGGTGGCAGATACTAAATCTCTAAGGTGGAATTGTTTGGAGAAAATTTCTGAAACATATGTATCTCTAAGGAAATTCCTAAATATAAAAATGGTCAAACACTTTTACTAAGTTGTGACCTTACAGTTGGTAGCTATAGTGAGCTTTCAGTGAGATTAGAGACTATTTACAAACAAAGGTTCCAACTTTATGACTTGCAAAATCAAGTAGAGGAGAAAACCCCTCCTGGAAGGAAGTCTACTATTGACACCATTTTCTGATTCAACTTAAGCTTCACTTGGCTTCATTTTTTGTTTTGCATTGACTTAGAATAGCGTTGAAACTGAAAACCATAAAGCATGTGCATGTATGCCATCCCACAATCATGCTATTCTGGTAGGCACAATTTATATGTGATAAAAAAAAAGTACTTACAGTACCACTATAATAGTCTCAAGTCTGTTGCAATCAAAATATAAGTTCATTGCCATTAATCATAATCATACATCATACTAAACAACACACCCACACACATGATATGTTATACAGTTACAGTCATTGAAGCAGACAGAATAATACTACAACACATAAAGCCTCACACATCAGTCAATATCCTAGATTACAGTACATGATTATTACAACATTGGAGCCTCACAGTAATCCCAACCCAACTGATTTTTCTTTCCAATGTCAAACATCACAATCCATGAAGCCAGTAACATCATTCCTCCTAGAAAACACCATAAGAGAGTCCATATCTTCTTTTTCTTTGGCACTGCATTTTTCTCCTCAAGCACAATTTCCATGCGCCATGTCCGTTTCTCTCAAAGCTAAATTCTGAAAGTCAAAAATAAAAGGATGAAGAAGAATACAGAATCAGCTCATAAGATAAAGATTCAACAATAATACGCTGAATTGGAAGAGAAATAATAGTCAATTCGTGATTCAGAAAAGAAGATGGAGAAGAATTGCAGAATCCGAGTGAAGTCTGGGAGATGAAATTCGCAGACATCAACTGTAAGTTAGGGTTACGTATATAAAAGGGTTGGCTATAAAGGCTGAGTTGGACTGTTGGAGTCCACGGTTTTAAAAATATACAGCTGTAATTGGCCACATCATCATCCTCTATAAAGGCTATAAAGGCTGAGTTGTACTGAATTGACATTTTTCTCATTTGTAAATTACAAATATGGGCAGGGCCTTGGAGCTCTTGGTTGTCTCCCTGTGGCCATCCTGGAACATGGAAGTGTAGCAGGAATTTTGTGGGAAGGAAGAGATACACAAAACCCAACTCTCAACACACACTTGGTCATTAAATCAAGATCAAACCTTTATTTACTTATCCAAGAAATGATTGATCTATATTCAGCATATCCAATCTCATTGTTGTATGGTTAGCCACAAATTTACCAACTATCAAGAATATCCTAAGATAAGATAACATATATCAAGGTAAAAAGTAGCATATACAATCACAACCGCCAGATGCTTTGATTCAGAAAAGTAAATATGACCTGGATTGGGATTTCTGAAGTCTCCGCACAAATAAATTAAAAAGTTTAATTTCGTCTAGAGATTTGAATCAATGAAACCTCTTTTATATGAATGACTCCATGAGAACAGTTTGAAGGCCAATCATGCCCGCTTTTTCTCTTGAGAATCGAGAGGCTTGAGTAGTAAAGGAGTCAGCCGCTTGACAATGAAACTTAGAAGTCGCTATTGAGCCAACTAATGAGAAATGCAAAGGGGATGCATCAAATTACAATGGAGTAATCAGCAGCGCTAAATTATGATGACCATATCACTACAGTTTCATTATCAAATCTAACCTATGTTGCCAAAATAGGACCTCACAACCCGGGCAACAGGGTCACAAGTCAACCGGACTTGGGAGGTCACGTGGTTAGTGCCGAGCAAACTCTATCAGATTTTAGAAAGTCAATATTTTTTTGTAAACTAACGTTAAAATTAAATCCTCTTTATTAATAAACTAGTTTTACACATGCGTTGTGCGATTGAGTAAATGGCCAATGTTATATACGTGAAATACACTTCTCTAATCTTTGATAGGGGATGAGAGTGAATTATTAATACGTAGTATAACATAACATATAAATGAACAAACCATTGAATAGGAGTGTAATTATTATCCACCTAAACATCAGTCTATTCATCTCTCCATAAATTATTATCATCAAGGGTATCCATCTTGAACTCCAGTTGCAATAGCAACAAAGTTACAAAAGCAATACAAAACCGAAATATTGATACGTATTAAAGGAGTCAGAAACAATTGCTTAAAATTCCATGTTTGAAGTAGCAAACATTTCCTATCACCCCAATAAGATTCAGGTAAACAAAGATTGAGTTAGGGGCTGTTTACTTTTTTTTTCATTAAGTTCTGAATGTATTAAGACGTCTGTCTGGATTAAGTTGTTTGTCTGGATTAAGTTACACTGATATAATAAACTGTTTACTAAGTGTGCTGAATGAGAAGTCTGAATCATGTCAAATGACGAAATAGCCCTAAAACAAATGTTAAATGTATACTTCGTATTTTCTATTTACTTTGTTTACCCCATTGTGCTCTATGTACTTCTTCTCCAATGTCTTCACCTTTGTGTTGTACTTCATTGTCAATTATAGTGTCATTATCCCATTCATTGAAAAATTCATTGTCAATATTAGACTTTCTAACGAAATTATAAACAACAAAACAAGTAATCATCACATTTCTTTTTATAAAAAACATATTTTCAGTCGAATCCTTGTAATTAACATCCAACTTCTATAATTTCTGGAGATCCTAAAATAAGATAAGACTTCCGGCCGGTGTGAAATAATATGCCACTATGAATTTGTGAAATGATAAGACCTGAATAAGTGAGAATTTTATTAAAATCAAAATTAATTAATAATATGCCACTATATATGGAGTATGAAGTAAGACTTCTGGCAGGTGTATGGCAAGTTATAGAAATGGGTTTGTTTATGGTTGTTATTTCAATAGAATTGAGGCAGCTATGAAGGTAAATAAGTGGATTGTTTGGAAGTTTTCTTGTGGTTCGAATTTGACCGACATAGCACATACCGTATTTTGAGCAGAGCATAGAATGGAATTGATATTACTCGAGTGCAGATGGCCGACTTGGCCTTCTTTTGTCTGTGAACGGAGAAGCAGTTGTTCAGCGGCTGATAAAGGAAACTACTCTAGGGTTAAAAGCGAGAAAGGAGTCTGTTCGCGTGTCTGAAGCTGGAGGAGTGCACTTTTTTTGCTGAATGAATAAGTGTTGTTTTGTCTGAGCGAATAAGTCATGCATTTTATTAAGTTATGACAAAACACAACTTAATGAATGAATGATTAAGTCACCAATTCTATTACATCCATTAAGTCCTAAGTAAACAACCCCTTAGTATCATACAGCCACAGCCAATCTAGCTCTAAATCTCAGTAGGACGTGAGATCACCCTTTTAGAATGTCATTTTAAATTGGCAGGAGCCAAGCTTTTAAATCGGGAAAAAATGAAGAGCGGGCCACTAAACCTTCAAAAATGAAACAACAAAAAAGCTCACCTCATCCAAAAATAGAAACTAATAATCCAACCTTTTAGCGGTCTTCTTTCAATAATCCCACCTTTTGATTATTCATGAATAATCCAACCTTTGCACCTCATCTTCATTCATTGGTCCCTGGTCGGTTAATGACCTATTATTCCAAGTTATTTTCTTATCTTTGCAAAGTATTATCTTTGTGAAAGATGAGATTTATGGTATAATGATTTGCAAAGATAAGAAAATAGCTTGGAATAGCAGGTCATCAACCGGTCAGGGACCAGTGAATGAAGATGAGGTGCAAAGATTGGATTATTCATGAATAACCAAAAGGTTGGATTATTGTAAGAAGACCGCTAAAAGATTGGATTATTAGTTTCCATTTTCCCTAATAAAAAGCAAGATGATGTACTTATGCAAATAGTAGGAATATGAATCCTTTCCGACGTATCAAAAAAAATTGTAGGAATATGAAGTCACTTTGATTTTCCCCTAATAGTTAGAAAACAATACCATTAGTGTGGATCTCAGATAACAACAAAAAAAACTTATATTCCCGATCACTAACTATTAAAGATTAACATCTTGAGAGAGTAGGCTTACATCCCCCTATCCTCACACTCATTAATTTAATATTTAAGACATTTGATACATAGTATCCACCATTTTCAAATACAAAAACATTTAATTTACCAAAATCGTTCATAGTAACAGAGTGCTATTAACATTTATCAAAATATAAATAAAAGCTCCTGTAAATATAAAGCCTCTGTCATACATTGTCTCATTAATCGAGACCTCGGGGGGATTTAGAACGATCAAACGTTACCAGCCCGGTCATAGGATCAACCTCACGACTATCTTGGGATCCACCTTTTCGTTCCACTACCGTTGGTGGAAGCAAGCCTGCTGTGAATAGAAGACTCTAAAGTGAATCCATTGGCTGCACCCCAACTGATAGCCAGTATCTGTATGTAACATCCCAAATAAGCAAATCCCTAAATGGGTGTTTATTACACATTTCCTTTTTAGTCTAACAAGGACTTTAGGCTCTATCTATTTACATGATTTTTTTTGGGTGGAAACACTTTAATTTGTTTAGCACCAGAACGAAAACATTTTCTGCCATTCAAAATGGAAAGGCATTTTCTTGAATCATTTCTATTTTGTCAGGGAAACATTATACTATAAGTAGAGCAACTTATTTTTGAGGAAAGCATTTTCCACA